GTTGATCAGCGGGGAGGGGAGCTTACAGCAAACCCTCATGTCAATGATATCAAGGACGGGACAGATGACACTGACTTCTCTGCACCACAGACTCCTCTGAAGATTTCCCCATCAACCCCCAAATTAGGAAAAACCTGTGGCATAGTTTTCCCTTCTCCCTCGGCCAGCTGTGGGTTGCTATAGGCAGGGGGACCATGAACAACATATAATGTTCAGGAGAGGGAAGGGGGAAAACAATCAATGAAACCTTTTGCATGGAAACAGTGTACACTGAAGGTTTTTTTTTTCCCCAAGTTGAAAGCTGATGTTAGCCCAATACAGATAATTCTTTACCCTGCTCACAGGGCTGTTGGCGGTGATTATATATAAAAAAAAATTTATAGACACTGTCTGAAAGAATAATGAGATAATGATTACACAACATTCTATCTTGTGCTGGGAATCTAAATCCCTGTTTAAAACCTATTCTGAATAAACAAAAAGTGCAAAGCATTGCTGTACCGTTAGCGCAGGAATAAACACAAGCCCTCAGAGTAAGACTTATATAGAGGAACCTTCCACTGACAAGGCATAACCTCAGTGGACCAATTATTTGCACTAGACAGGCATCACAATAAGTTAACCTGCCAACACTGGGTCACATGCCTCAGTTGATATCTTAAGAATAACTGTGCAAGTTTCTTTTAATTAATAGGTCACTTAAATGGAAGTGGAAAGTCTGGATAAAAGGGTTAACATTGAATAAGTTTAGGACTCAGACTGTTGATCTAAGCAGTACCAACAATGTTTATAAAGCAAGAGTCTTGAGTAAAACACACCACACATACAGTTGTACTTTGCCTGTATCATTAAAGGAAAATTTAGAAGTCTGCATGAACATAGTCTTCTGCAGCCTTGAAAGCACTGGATAACATTTATGATGGAGGGAAGGATGGTTGGAGAATTAACATTAAAAAGCTTTGGTTCAACTCTACTCAGCTTAGAGTATTCTGCAAGTAACGAGTTCTAGAATATCTAGAGACTATATGCAATCAGGTTATTTTTAATTTACATGGCTATTGGGGCAGATTTCTCGCTTTGTTTTTTATTCAGCCTCAGGGGTAGGTAAGATCTTACCAAAAAAATCAAGGTCAGACATCAGCCATAGCTATGAAAAAAATATCAATCAACAGATGCTGCCAAGGCAAGAGCATAGGTCTGGAAATGGAAGCAAAATGGGCAATGAAGCATTGCCAAGCCACTGAGATATTAGAAGGCTTTTTTTTTTTTTTGGCTATAGGTATGAAAAGGGAAATCGGCCGAGAAGCATACAGCTAAGGAGATGAGGAGTCTGAATGGGTACAGAGCACATCATTAACAAAAAATAAGGGCTTTTGAGCCACAAATCCACTGGCCATTTTATTCTCCACAATACAGCAGTGCTTTAAAAGGGGAAGCCGGGACAATCGAAGGCAGGAAAATGAAAACGTACTCTTTAAACAGGACTATTAACCTTCAGCCTATAAAAATACTGAACTACAGCTATTCAGAGCTTGGGACCGAGTAGAGAAGAAAAGAATGCTTATTGTAAGGCTTTGTTGAACATAATAGCTCTTAATATCCTTCTAGGTGATATTTCTATTATAATTATTAATTCTGTGGTGTGTTTTTGGGAGACCACCAGAAAATGGTGTACATTAAAATAAGATTGGAATAAGCATATTTAAGTATCTGTTCTTAAGACTGTAAGTAATAAAATGACTACTATCCAATGGCATTGTTGTTATTTTTGCATTATGGCCATCTTACTTAGAATAAAATCTCCTGTATGAATAGCTTGTTT